GTGTGTGTGTGTGTGTGTGTGTGTGTGTGTGTGTGTGTGTGTGTGTGAAGGAAAGAGAACAAATTTCAGGAGTCAGTTTGTGTTTGATATCTACTCCAGGTTAAGTGCCCGTGAGCTTCCAGGCGATTCTCCTCATAAAAGTCTGAATGTTACAGATGTGTGCCCTGGCACTTTTTAACCTTTACTGGAGTGCTACATACCACGCTGTGCATGTGGAGGTCAGAGGACAGCTTTGTGGAGTCAGTTCTCTCCTTCCACCGGTTGTGGCGATCAAAATCATGTCAGTCAACTTTCACCACAAGGGCTTTTACCCCCTGAGCCCCCTGCCTGGCATCCCACCCACTGAGCCCGCTCCATAGCACCCCACCATAGACATTTTTAGACCATGAAATAAACAATAGTTACCGTTTTAACACCTGTAACTCTCAGCTACTGTCCTTTCTTCTTGGTACAGTTAGATGATTGGCCTGCCCCAGGAGAGAGACCTTTGGAGGACACTTTAGCTAAACATGCCCAAAGTCCACTTTTAGTAAGTTCAAACAGAATGCAATCACTACCAATGTGGATTACAAACCTCTAACCTACTTTTTGTCTTTGGACTTGTGTGTTTTGGACACCTTCTATAAACCAGAATGATTTAACCTTTTCTTTTTGTAGCTGGCCTGCTTCACTTAGATAACACTTTCAAGGTAGTGTTGTAGGATATATAAGAACTCCACTCTTTTGCATGACTGTTCCATTGTGAGCACCACCGCGTGTTCATTCATGTGTGGATGGATACTTACTTGGGGTTTCTCCATTATCTGGATATTGCAGAGGAAGCCGGGAACATCTGCAGTTTAGTCAGTTTTAAATCTCTGGCCCTTTTTAAAATTATTATTGTAATAATATATAAACTACACACTGTACAACAGGTGGTGGCACAGGGAAGTTTATTATGGGGAAAGCAATACAGAGACAGTACCCCCAGAGAGGAGAATACAGAGTGGGGAGGGAGACAGACAGAATTAGAGGGGCAGAGAAAGAGAAGAGAAGGAGAGAGAAGAAGGGATGTAGGAGGCGAGATCCTTTTATTTCCGTGCACCTCCATGGCTGCTGCACGTGGTGACATCAGAGGTGGCTAGGCAACCTAGAGGCAGACAACCTATACTCTAATTATTCTTTTGGGTATATATCTAGAAGGGCAATTGTTGGGCAACATGATAATTATATATGTAACAACCAAAACATTTTCCACAGTGGCTACATCATTTCATATTCACATATTCACATATTCATATTCACATCAGCAAGACGTGTAGATAGAGCATTTTTTTTTGTTTTGTTTTGTTTTCAATTTGTTGTTTTCTTGAGACAGGGCTTCATGTGTCCAGGCTGACTTTAAGCTTCTGACCTGCCTTCCCCACCACCCAAGTGCGGAGATTATAAGACTAAGACAACACATCTGGCAATTTATCATTTTTAAAATGGATAAATGAAGAGGGAATCCAGTTAAGAGTTTGATCTTATCCCCAGATGGTCAATGATGCAGCAGACAGCAGGTACCAAGTACTTGTGTCAGGTCCCAAAGAAACCCAGGTCAAATGGCTATCTGTGGTGCCTATCAGCATATCAAACATGCGCTAGCCACTAGGCTCACTCAGGACCTAGGACTCCTCAGTTCTTCTCACCTGTGCCCTACCCTAGGCCTGTCCAGCCCAGAGGCTTCACTTCCCTTCTCTTCCCCTAGCTTCTCTTCTCTATATAACCCTGCCATGCCATTTCAGCAACATGCTTTCTTTGCCTACTTGGTTCTTTTTCCTGGGGGGGGGGGGGGCGCACTCTCTTTTATGTGCTCTCTCCTCTCTCACTCTCCCCTCCCCCTCTTCTCTCATGACCTGGTTCAGTCTGGGATCTTACAGATGCCTCTGGCTGTACTCTCCATCATGTACAAGAAAATCCTTCTCAACCATACCTTGAAGCAGTCACGTCCCCCTGATTTCATTCACCTTGACTCCAAGGACAAGTCCTAGAAAAGCACCCAGTCATATTTAACTGCTACTTCCTGTCAACTTACAGTCCTTGTCTTGTGACAAGCCCACATGATGCTCTGTCTGGACTCCCTGCCTCTGTGGAAGTGCCTCAAGAGCAGGCCACTCATGATACTGCCCTGTTGTCGTCAATGCTTCTTGTGGTGCCGCACAGTTGGCTCTCTGTTGATGACCAAAAGTGACTTGGGAGGAAAGGGTTTGCCTGGCTTACAGGTCGAAGCCCCTCCCCCCCTTCCCGTAGAGCAAAGCTAAGGGCAAGAACTCACAGCAGGCTCCTGGAGGCAGGAGCTGAAGCAGAGGCTGTGGATGGACCCTGCCTGTTGGCTATCAGCTTGTTGGCTTGCTTGCTTCTTGGTTATGAGCCTGTCCTTTAACAGCTGAGCCTTCTCTCCAACCCTCAACTGCTTCCTTATACAGGCCAGGCCCACCTGCCCAGGGATGGCACCACCCACAGTGTGCTGGGCCCTACCACATCAATCACTAATCAAGAAAATGTCCCCATGGACGTGGCTAGAGGCCAACCTGTTGGAGGCATTTCCACAGTTGAGATTCCCTCTTCCTGGGTGGTTGTAGTTGTGTCAAGCTGACCAACACGGACCAGCACAAGTGCCCAGCAAAGAAGGACAAAATAGTTTCACTGACTTCATGAATCTGCACAGAATCTGTGCAGCCGAGTCTGAGGGTGGCTTCGGTTTCCAAGAAACTTGACGCAGCGCCAGGCAGTCAGCTTAAATGACTCACTAGCTGTGCAAGCTTGCTGGCCTGAGCTCCACCCAGAACCCAAGCAAGCACACATCTGTAATCCTAGGCCCTACAGTAAGATGGTCGCAACTAACCCTGGAAAGCTGTCCACTGAGCTCCACACAGGTAAAGTACGGACTCACACCTATACACACCTATGTGTGTGCCATACATATGTACACACACACGCATACACACTCACACATGTACACACACTCTCTAAATAAACAATTTATTTTTAAAAATAAGGAAAGAAATGAAGACAAGAAAAGAAACTTGGTTCAGAAGTCAAAACAACCTAACAGTCATTTGAGGAGCTCAAGAGATGGCTCAGCAGTTAAGAACATATATTTCTCTCCCCAGCTCCCACATCAGCTGGCTCACAACCTCCTGGAACTCCATCTCCAGAGTATCTTACATTCTCTTCTGGCTCTGCAGGCATCTACACACCACGGCATACACACAAAGACACATGCATAAGTAAAAGTAAAAATATACCCTTAAAAAGTCTTTGGCAGCCTGGGAGGCGGCTCAGTGGATAAGAGTACTTGCACCAAGCTGAATTCAATGCTCCAGGACACAGGTGGGTATGCTGAGGTGCCAGCTTACCTTGATGGTATTAGCTAAGGTAAGAAGCCCCGCCCGCTCTCAGTGGCCCTGCTCCCTGGCTGGAATCCTGGACTGTGTAAGCAGAAAACTCCAACGGAGCAGCAACCTGCATTCATCCACCTCTGCTTCTTGACGGTAAGTGTTGCTACCAACTGCCTCAAGCTTCTGACCTTGGCTTCGCCTCAGGGATGGTGACTGTGGGCCGCAAGGAGCCCTTTCTCCTTCAGTGTCTTTTGTCAGCCTGTTTCATCACTGCAAATGAAAAAGAAACTTAAGGTTATATGTAACAAGCACACTGTACAATGTGAGGGTTGGTAGTAGTAATTAAGATTGAAATTTTAAAAATAAAGCTGTATTTGCCTTTTCCAACAGAGTTAGCCACTGTTCCATTACTGTGGAGAGACACCATGCCCAAGGCAATTCTTGTAAAGGAAGCATTTAATTGGGGGCTGGTTTACAGTTTCAGAGGCTTCCTCTGTTATCGTCATGGCAGAGAGCATGGTGGCCCGCAGACAGGTATTGAATCGGACATCTGAGACTTTTACATCCTGATCCACAGAGTGTGAAGAGGAGGAGAGGGTTGGGAGGCCACCTAGTATGGACTTTTGAAACCTCAAAGCCCACTCCCAATGACAAACCTGCAACAAGGCCACAACTACTTCAATAAGGCCCCATCTCTTAATTGTCTGAAAGTCCATGGGCTGTGGACCGGAATGCCAATATATGAATCTCTGGGAGCCATTTTTCAATCCACTGCACTCACTCTCAAGAGAAGCCAAGACTACTTGGCAAACTGTAGCCGGTGAAATGGACATAGCTTATGAATTTATTCTTAATCAATACATTCTGCCACTGCAGAAATAAGAGCACAAACACGTCTATCTTCCTGATATAATGTGTTCATGACACTAGCAGAAATAGAAGTTTTAAAGGAAACACCTGGGCTCCAGTAATCTCGACAGGCTAGATCCTGCCACTGGTTTCCAATATGGCAATTAAAAAGATAACTAATGGTGAAAAGTGAAGAGACCAGCTGTGATCAGTGTGGCCCCAGTGGGAAAAGAGAGAAACAGTGACCCCAGGTCTCTTTTCAGCATACTGACATGAGCTGTAGATTTGAATAGAGGGTGAAAGATTTGTGTACGTAAGCATCCCTGGTGAGGATGTGGTCCCACCCATCAACTCATCATTGTCTGAGCTGGCATCTGCTAAATTGCTAATCTGCTAATCACTGTTACCATCCAAGGAGACCAATCTGACTCCTTTCAAGACGGTGACTTCCAATCCTGGGCAAGCATCACCCTCTGTCTAGCTGCCCTCACCTGAGAAAGGGTTTGTGCTCAGAGGCATCGCTCTCCCTGGAATCCAAGGGACTGCCGATTTGGACAACGGCTTTATTTTTGTGCTTTTAGCATGGAAAGGTTGAGTAAACCACTCTCTTGAGCGGTTCATTAGTTCGCGTGTCTTTGCAGAGTTAAGCAGGCATCTGAGCCCAGGTCAAGAAGACAGATACAGAGCCGAAGCGGAGATGCCATGTGGTCTGCATTCTGCTCCATCTCTCAGGGAGTCTGGGCGCCGGGGGAACATAGGGGCACATCGAGCTGGAAAGAATGAATTGAAGTCCAGACCTGGAGGGGTCTGCAGGACTCCGGTCTAGCTGGGGAGTAAGGGAGGGGCTTCCCGGGGATGTTAGCATTACAGCTCTCTTATCTCAGAGCTATCCCAATGAAACAGCAACTCTCAGATGATATTTAGTGAAACAGCTTGTGCCAGTTTACTGGGGAAGAAGCTGAAGTCCGTTTATTCTATGGTGAGCAAACGCTATATGAACTTGAGGCCTGGGGAGGGGTTTGGGGCTGAATGCATTTTGTTGGCTCTGCTGACAAGCTGGTGATGCTCTGTTGGCATCAGGTGCTGGCTACTGACTCCCTGTGACTACTCTGAGAGTTGGATGTCACCAGCCCACGTGCAGGCACGGAAGCAGGGAGGAAGTGGTTCTTGCTCCTGAGATTTCCAGCATTTGAACCCGATCCACCTTGTCAGTTCCATGCTAGTTCTGCTGGTGGCTCAGTCCACATGCCCCACAATGCCGGACATTCACCC